GATGCCTGCAGACACACACACACACACACACACACACACACACACACACCTTGTTGTACTTGCGCTGGAGACCGAGGACGAGGTTGTCGATGATGGGCTGGAAGTACGTCTGCTCGGCGTCAATCATCAGCCGCACGCGATGCTTCTCCGCATACTCAACAACCTCCGTCAGGCGACTGCCGTGGCGAAGACGTGGGGTGTCAAGAGCGGTAGTGGTGGTGGTGGTGGAGAAGAAGAGGGAGGTGAGGATGTGGTGACAATGTACACACATAGCAACAAGAACAAGAACAAGAACAACAACAACAACAACAGCAACAGCCCACCAAAACGTTCTCATCGTTGTCATCACCACCACCGCGACGCACCGCTGCAGGTTCCTGAGGAGCTCCAGTTCGCGTTCCGTGGGCATCTCGTGGGTGATGTGGGCGAGCGGCGTGTGCGGGCCCGCACGGCGCATCAGCTCCCAGATGTCCTCAATGTGCAGGTTGTGCGTCCATTCCACAAAGTCCACGCGCCCGTTGCGGTCAGAGTCAACCAGGTTGTAAAAGTCGTGGATCTCTTGGTCTAACGGTGTTGAAATGCAAGTGGCAGAGGGGGAAGATGGGAGGGTGTGTGTGTGTGTGGGGGGGGTGTGAACGCACATGTTTTGTGTCTGTGCGTGTGAGTTTGTGTCTTTGTTTCTGTGTAACGCCACGCACAAGCAGAGCACACACACACGCGCGCGCGCACGCACACGCACACGCACGCACAAACCACAGCGCACAGCACAGCGCGCGCGTGTGCATTGCTGACCTGAGATGTCAGGGAAGTACTGGTGGAAGAAGCGCTGGAAGTCTTCCTCGGTGAGGCCGTCGGCGTGGTGGTGCTCAACACCTTCCTCCCGCTTCGCAAACAGATCAAACAGCCTGGCCATGGACAGAAGAGGCGGGGGGGGGGAAACAGTCGATTCATTTGTTTCATGGGAATGTGGATATGTGGAGTGAGTTTGGCGTGTAGTGTGGAGTGACTGAGATCGAGAGGGGTATGAGGGAAGGTGATCAGCCATGTCTGCGCATTTTCAAACACGAACGCAATACACGTGTGGCACAGCGTCCTCACCATTGTGTCTGGATGATGGCTGTGGAGAGTTGCTTCAGGAGGTCGGGGTGGCCCAGAGCAGTCACCTTGATGGCTGCCGTGGTGAAGTAATACAAGGGGAGTGAGGTGAGGTGAAGGAAAGGCAATCGAGCAGCTAGCATCGCCGTGGGTGTTTGCAAAACAAGCACACACACAGACACAGACACACACACGTGCACACACACACACACCTGCAATGCCAGCTGGAGTGACGTTGTGGACGTTTTCGATGCACGTCTTAAAGTTCTCGACGTTTGCATCACAGTGGGACTCGTCAATGTAATCGTATGTGCGCGCAGACAACCGTTGCTCCTCCTCCAGCACATCCTCCTATTGATTGTGGTGATGATACCAGGGAGATGGACAGGAACAAGGTGGGTGAGGGAGGACGTGAGAGGAACAAGGTACACCAACACATGCGTGCGAGTGTCTAAGGGCGCACACTCCATCACACAACACAATCACACAAGACGGCCACCATGACAAACATTTACACCACCGCCATGATCATCAGCGGTGGGCGTCAGCGTACCGGCTTGTCTTCGAGGTCTGCCTCGGCGGCGTAGTCCATGATAGAGCCGATGCCGCTCGCACGCAGCTCAGCAACCTGCCGCCACAGTGCACACCAACACCAGTGTGGAACGATGGAAGTGTGTGTGTGTGCATGGGGATGGGTGAGGACTAGGCAAATGTGATGTTGAGGTCACCACGCGACCAGCAGTAGTAACAACAACAACAACAACAACAACAACAACAACAACAACAACAACAACGACAACAACAACAACAACAACAACAACAACAACAACATTGTCATTGACGCACGATTGGCCGGAGCTCGTCCTCATTCTCGCCAGCGCAGAAGTGGCGGAAGAAGGTTCCCTTCACAATCCCGTCAACAAGCCGAGCACCAAACACGGCCCTTCACAGGCACACGCACACGCACACACAAAAAAATGTGAGCGGGTGGTCAAGGTGCCAAACTGCAATGCAAGACACACACACACACACACACACACACACACACACACACACACACACACACACACACACACACACACACACACACACACACACACACACGTTCTCACCTTGTCTTCTTGTAGAGGGGTCCTGCATTCTCCACAATCTGGCGAACGGTGCACAGCTTGAGCACCCCATATGCGAGCACGAGGTCGTACAGCGACTTGGTCTGGAACGCCTGGCTCGGGTCGCTGAAGTCAAGCTTGTCTGCCGACATGGTGGCGTGTGCGGGCGCCCCCGTGTCGTGTGGCGGGGCGGAGGTCGGGTCTACAGCAGGTGTTGGTGCCTGCCCTGCGGCTGGTGCGGTGGCCGTGGACATGTGCGCCTCCTTGGTGGCGGTGACTGCTGGCTCGCTGTCGGTTGGCGTGGTCTTGTGGAAGCCGGTGGTGGTGGTGGTGGTGGTGGTGGTGGCAGTGGCTGGTGGTGCCGCGTTGGCGTGTGGGTGCGACGAGCGCATGTACATGGCAGCGGACGACAGCGCGGCGCGGTGCTGGTGTTGCGCGAGCAAGGTGGTCATGGATGTGCCGTGGCATCGTGCAGCCGACAGCAGCGCGGGTCCGCGGGCAGCGGCCCACGCACGCAGAGGTGCCGTGGCCATTTGAGGCGACAGGAAGAGAGAATGGGGGAGGGGAGGGGAGATGAAGGGAGATGAAGGGAGATGAAGAGAGATGGAGCTGGTCGAATAGGTTCCCTTGGCTGCTGGTTGGTTGGTTGATTGGTCGTGGGAGTGAAGACGACGCGTCAAGCACAGAGGAGAAGCTGTTTTGAAGGACGTCAGACGAATGGATGAATGTGGAGAAGGTTCTGGACGGTGGGGAGGTTGCGATATGGGGGTGTGCTTGATGGGGAATGCAATCAGTCAGACGGTTGATGATGGCTGAAGCGACGAAAACGCGCAGGTGGTGGTCGCGCGTGCTGCTGTGATGTGATGTGATTGAACGATTGATCGGGCGACGACGGCGGTTATCGCAAACGCGCGCTGATTGCAAGTGTTTCGCGCTGCCGGCGTCGTGATGGAGACGGATGGATAGATAAGCAAGGGGGTCGTGGGGATGGAATGGGTTCGTGTATGCGATGGTGATGTGGACGTTCGTGCGTGTGTGCGTGTGTGTGTGTTTGTGAGGTGGGGTTGACTACAATCAATCAATCAATCAGAGACGTGCGCCCAGTGCACGGGGAAAAATGATAATGATCGGCGAGGAGGACACGACACAACAGGCAACAGCAGGGAGGCAGGGGAACGAAGCAACAGCAGAGGAGTGTGATGCAATAGGGCTGTAAACACAGAAACAGAGCAAGATGAAGCACCCCCCGATCACTTGCCAACTGACGAAAACCAGGCCTCACCTTGCTTGCTTTTGCTTGCTGGGGGGAAGATGGGTGGGTTGGTTGCTGCAAAAGCAACAAGCGCGTGAAAAAAAGTCAGCAAAGCCAAAGTGGCGAATGCAGAACACAAACCTAACAACAAATTTGCATGTGCAAGACCATGTGCGTTGCGTTTGGGGTTGTGTGGTGGAGTGTGGGAAGGGGTGAGTTTGGCATGGTGGGAGGAGAGGCGCGATCACCATTCCCGCTCCGCTCTCTCATGAGGCTCACACGCGGTCGACTCATGGCTCACCTCAAAACCTCTTGGCTGGCTGGTTGCATGGCTCGCAGACATGCAGGCACAGCAGGCACAACCAACAGGCACAGCCTTCAAGAGCGATGGAAGGGTTTGTTTGGATTTTTCATGTGATTGCGGATTTCTTGTGGAAATTTTGGTAGAGTTTTCGTGCATATTCGCAACACCGATTGCGCAACGGGTGATTCGGTTGCACCAATCCCATGCTTTGCAGCAACCACGCCAAATCGAAGCGAAAGACGACACACGACATACAGTCATGTGCAAGCATGACAAAAGGGTGACACGACACACAGAAATAGAGTCGCCGCCGGCGGATACAGCAGCAAGCAACAAGTAAAGCAAGTCAAGGCAGCAGCACAAGCACAAACACAACACAAGCACAAGCACAACACAACACACACAACCACACAAACAACCACACCAACGATGATGGACAAGAACGGAAAGGGTGGTCGCGGGGAAGACGCGCCCCTGCGCGAAATGGACACTGTTCCGCTTGACGATGACATTGACGATGATGAGGAGGACGAGGAGGAGGACTTTGCCACTCCTCCCGCACAGCCGACAACCCCGGCACAACAGCAGGAACACGAGCAGGAACACGAGCAGAAGCAGAAGAAGGAGCCAGCAAGCAGTGCAAAGGCACCAGCAAGGAAGAAGAACCCATCATCCAGTGGTGGCAGCCGCGGCAGCAGCAGCAGCAGCGGTGGACATGACCCGGCCAGTGGCATGGCCTTTCACCAGCAGGACGACCCACATGACGCCGACTTTGAGGCCCTCCCCAACGTCGTCAAAGTCAAGGTACACGGGCGTGTGTGTGTGTGTGG